CCATTCAGCGTTTTGTAGTGATGTCTGGGAGCTCTCACAAGTGCACACTATCACAGCATCTCCTCTTTCTTTATCTTCTTCAAAAGGCTTAGTCCCAATAAGACACAAAGTGTGTGCTTTTCCAGCTACGCTCTCACCCTTTGGTTGACAGAAGCCTTGTAACCGCCAGCCAGAGAAAAGGAAGTGTTGGAGCCTGAGCGGAATCCCTTGTTTGAATCTCAAAGGTAACAGTGGTGCATCATGCTGCGATTCTCGACCAGTTATACATGTGATAAATAAGCTTTTGAAAAAATATTTATTTAGACTAAATATCACATAATTATGTACATAACGAACAATAGTTTTGCGTTGACTTGTGTATACACGACGTTTGGCTGTTTTCTTCGTTTTCTACTTTGCTGAAGGCGGAATTCTTTGAGATACTCAAATGCATCGTATCGCGGACAATAGGTTCTGGTTCTGGTGTTGGTTGTGGGTGGAGACGGGCGATCAGCTCTGGATCGGGCGTCGGCGAGCGACTCTGGAATGAATGACGGTAGGATCCAAAGGATTTCCGTCAGTATGTTAGTAGTAAGCAACTTACGTGATCTGGAGTCCGTATCGGTAAAGCGGTTCGAGATTCGTTTTCGACGACGAATGTGTTCCGTCGTGGTCTCACCTCACCGATCCTTAACATGGGCTATTTTAAGTCAAACTTAAAGGTGCAGGCCGCACTGTGGGCGGTATCATGTGGTACCGCCCTCCATTCCCATTGGAACGCGTGCTTGTCTTCCCCGTTTAGAGCCTAGGTGAGCACACGTTCCAGTGGGAAGTGAGAGTGGTACCAGAAACCTAGTCCACACATCGCGGCCTTTGCTAATGATGGCTCATAGGGAACCCTTTCTAAAAGCTGTGTGTTAAAAAACAAGTGTCAAGTGTATTAGTGCGAAGCAGCATAGGTAGTGTGCATTTTTTCAAAGGGACCTCTAGCGATATATACAGTAGGTGACATCTATTGTGTAATAATAAGCAGAGATAGTAAAAGCAAGCAGAATATATCAAAAACGACCTAAAACTATAACGCACGACGTTGCATCCATTGATCGTGGAGGTGGCCGCTTCGCGGCCGCGCGCGACTCAAATCTCAGCGGGCTGCCTGCACGGGCCGGACTGTAAATGCCATGTGTAGGTCACCTAATTCAGTGCTAGTACTTTCTCCGGTGATATGGGAAACGTGATGCGTCGGTGGGTGGTTTTAGTTGGGTACAGAATTGAGTGCTGCAAGGTGTTTGTTTAGAGGACCTTCCTTTAATGTGAGGTGGGAAATGGACTTCTAGATATCAGGCTATTATATTGTTACATTAATCTAACTGAATGAAATGGCGTTTGGGAAGTGAAACAATTGCCAAGTGATATTGATACTAACCTGTCGTAAATGACACCGTCGACTTGAAGCCCTCTGAAATAGTCGAGGTTTTTTCTGAGATTGAGATCGTCACCCCATACAAACGTGACAAGGCGGAATTTCTCAGCGCGCTCGAGGGGCGAAGGATCCTGTAAATGAATTGTATTCGGTACTCCGAAATCCCTTACATGTGATTTTTCAACTAACCTGAAGAAGTTCTTCACTATGAAAGTTTACACCTAAAAGCCCGTTACCAGCAGCGTAGTTCACAGCGATTTTTGAGCAATCCGAACGAATATCCTGTAATGAATTACCGTAATTGAAGATACTCAATGTTATGCGGTAAACGACCAAATTTGAATTCAATTAACCGTTATACCTGGAAAGGTGTGTAACGTGTAGTTAGTCCTACAACCAGAAACATTACTGGGTAAACGTGTTGTTTGAGGGTTATCCTGCAAGAAGTTTGTTCATTTGTTCACTTTTATTGAGGAAAGGCACAAAATATGGTTGGCAGAATGTGTCAGAACTCAGACCTAAGCGCACGCTTTCAGGCACGCCGCCCGACCACATTGGTACAGCGATTCTCGCTACAAGGAGGGTTTCCCATCAATTAGCACCTATGGCTTTCGCTTTTTTCCTGTAGTAAAGGATTCAGGAAAGCATTGAGGATGAGCGAAGACGAAGCACGAAGCTACCGAAGGCGCGGTTTGTCAGCTGGGTTTTCGCCGGGGCCGGAAGCTTCTGCCGCATTTACTGCGTTTTTGAGCCGCTAATCTAGTAGGTCTGCGACGTTCTTGAGCAGCTCTATACCATCCACTAGAGGAGTTGATCCACCCAAATTAATCGTGGGGTGTGCCTTGAAAAATGCATTGCAGGACGAAGATAGGGAGAATGTTATGAGAAAAGTGCACCGCAGCACCGAGGATACACAAAAGTATACAGAATAACTCACAAGCTACAAACATCAGGATCAAAACTAGAGAATATCACTCGTCGTCTGCCGGCATGTTCAAGCACGTTCCGTAAAATAACATCGACGAAGTCATTCCGTTCCATATATGCTGGGCATTCATGCGTACCATCCTGGGAATAATAACAATACGATTTCAACAGATCTGCTCCTAAAGGCACATTCCGTGACTGTTTAAGTGTGGGTCGAAAACAGATGCGGTAGTTGCTCGAAAGCAGATTACAAAAGGGAGGGAAGGATCGTAGTATTTTCATCAAGGGATCTTCTGGCGATAGGTGCGACTTGGCAATGAGAAGCTGAGGCCGATGTCAGACTTTGCGAATCGCGCGATTCGCTAGCGTCCGCGGTCGCGTTGCGGTACCAGCCAATTGAGTGATTCACTGGCCGCGACGCGACCGCAGACGCTAGCGAATCGCGCGATTCGCAAAGTCTGACATCGGCCTTAAAGCTGAAGACGCGTAATCCCTCCGCGCGCAATCACCGCCTCTACGATCAGCATGCAACGGAGTTTTTGAGTTTTGAAGGCTCTTAGCAGTTTTGGGTCCTCTAATTATTACAAGTCGACCAATCCACAACTGGTTCCATTTTCAAGCGCAAATACCTACACTCGGCAAGGCAGACTACACTGCGTTTCATAATTATAGGTCCACCCTAAATTTTTGCTACCCCAAAGTTGCTGTGCATTTTTTGGAAATGCTGCTATCACCGTTAGATTCCTCATCACGGAAAACCTTCATAGTGTTTTTCTGACAAAGTTCCCCCCTCAAGTAACCCAATTAACTTTTTCAGAACGAATTTTCACCGTTTCATGAATATCGGGCCACTCATAAAAAGTTTCCATTTCTCATGATCCGTGAAGGGAATCAGGGAAGCGGGGATATATGTGAGCTTAGTCGACATCGAGTTTGCCATACCTCGTATTACTCGTATCTCTTCCCAGTGATAAGCTCAAACCAGAGCCCTTACTGAAGTTTGATGGCTGAGAAGCAGAACTGCCTCCCATGTCGGCCGGCTCATGATGCATAAGCAACTATGTGCGAAATCCCGGTCTGTGCGGGAAGAAGAGTAGCCTTGGTAAATAATGACAGCGTTTCATTGAAAATCAAGAGGAATTGGGCGTCTTCTGTCGAATTGGATAAGGCGTCCGAACAAAGTCCGTGCTGAAATGCGGCCTTCCGTGAGCAAAACCACCGTGTTGTGAGTAAGCCAGCAGAGCAATAACATCTTCAGCGGATTGAAGAAGCGCGTTCCAAGATTATTTGAGCGCTACAAGATCGCACGTCTCCATTTCTAGGTGGAAAAGGGCTCAAGTTAATGAACGAAGGTGTGGCTGCCAGGACCCTTCGTGATCTTGGACTCCACCTCCTCGTTTCATGCTACGGGTGATCTGGAATCGGCGTGAAAAAGTTTATTCTAAGTGGATCTGATGGAAAATGAGGGTACAGGAGGGTTCCGTGAAAATCGCAGATGGTTTCGAAGTAAGGTAATTTTGGCGGAGAATTCCTTGTGGTTTGAGGCACCTTTGAACGACTGAGCGGCTAGAGCTCGTATTTGTTTCCTTTCACGAGGATTCCATAGGGTATCGTTAAGTCCTTCTGAAGCGACTTTTACCATCTTTTCGACAACAGCCCTCTCGAACCTTGATTTTTACGCACGATAACGCAGCTGTCCATGCCGGTCCTTACCACGCCAGATGGAAGTTGCAGGAAAAAATGTGGCAGTTATCTGGTGGCCACCATGTTATCTGAATCAGATTCCAATAGAGAATCATTGGGCCTTAATTGTTATAAAGTTCCACAGCAAAGAAAAGCAAAATGGAACAGCCGAAGAGCTGAAAACGTCGATCATCAGCGCGCAGGCAAATTTCGATCCCATTGTAATAGCTAATTTGGTTACCAGCATTCCAAAACGTATTATTGTGTTTCTTATGACTAATGGAGGACCACCACATTATTGAAATTTTTTTACGTTTTTTTGTTGTAATAAAATCTTTCGACAAGTAATGTGTAGTCATATTTGCGAAACGGTGAAAATACGTTCTAAAAAGATATTTTAATAATTCTGAATCGAGATTTCTCCAGAAATCGAGTATCAAGGTTTTTCGTTATGGGGAAACTATTGGTAATAGCGGCATTTTCCAAAAATGCACAGCAACTTTGGAATAGCAAAAATTAGGGTGGACCTATATTTATGAAACGCAGTGTATTATGTCTGGCACATTCGGGGTTCCGCACTACGATTACGATTATTATTGTAAATATTAGAAATATCTATGCGTCTGTGATTACAAATCAGTTTTCTAATCATTGGTCTGTTGTGTGTACCCAAATAGCGTGAGCGGAACAGTGCTTGAATTCAAATAAAGCTAGAGAATGTACCACTGAGGAGGTAGATACTAAGATTTTAACCGTAACGTATTAATCTGAGTGTCACTGAAGGCGATTATGCAAAGCACAAGGACTACGTCTAGAAACTGTTCTGACAAGAAAATTGTCCCATCAGGTCTTTTCAGAGGAGCGTAGCGTAGATTGTGTGTGTTATTCAGCCGTGTGATAACTTCCAGTTAACATACACCCTCCTTTTCAAAAAACGAGAAGAGCGTCGGGTGCAGACCATACACCACAAGTGACGACGGCCTCCAAGTAAATCTGGTTAGTAGTGGTTCATAGTGATAGCTGATTTTTGGTAAATGATAGTTGTAATTAGTGACAACTGATAGAATACAACTGCAACAGGCTAATCATTTCATTGGCAGAAAACATTTACATTTTGTGGAGGCCGTCGTCACTTGTGGTGTATGGTCTGCACCCGACGCTCTTCTCGTTTTTTGAAAGGGAGGGCATACAAGTGCCGCTTCGGAAGCGTCAGGCACATTTCACTAGCCCTTGTGGATTTTCGCCATGTACTGTGTTACCGTAACTGCCATTACTCATAGACTAGCCTATTTAGCGAAATTTTCCAGGATTTGTTAGCTTAGAATTGCCTACCTTCATTTTCATAGGGTATTTTACTTCTATGTTGAATCCGACGTCGGGATTAACGGTCTCTAAGACCTGCTTCAAATGAGGAAACGGATTGTGGAGCTCTTCATTCATTTCCTCCTCAGTAGGCGTCACTCTCCAGGTCTTGCTTATGTGTTCAGCTGGATGCTCAAGTTGTAAAAGATGGAGCTGGTCGAGGTTGAGGTCCTAAAACGCGTCTTATGACCACTATCAAAGGAGTATATTCCCTAGCGGTTGCCAACGAACTTTAATAGCTAGCTGATGATGTCGTGGTTTCGCCTGGAACAAGTCTCGTCTTCGGCCAGCTACTTCGACGAGAACATGAAAGTCGTGGTAGATTACTGGTTGCATATCCTAAAATGTTAAGGGTTGAAATTTAAACTTTGCTCTTCTTATGCTTGCTTCTTTTCTTATGCCTGTGCTTACCTTAGTAAGTTGGACATCGAATTCAACATAATCCGCACCGTTCTTTGCCGCTTCGCTAAGTGAATGGATTGTGTTCTCACGGGCTGTCGCCATTCTAAAAAGAACTATTAATGACAATCTTCAAGTCTGCTACATTCGTGACGGGTCAACAGTAAAATAACTTAGTCCAATGTTGACTTTTGTCATATTACTGAGAAGGTAACATGCGTTTTCAGCGTACGGAGGCAAATTTGTTGTAAGCGGGTCCTCTTTCAATTTCTGTCTTAATCTAGCTGATAACCTGTATGCTCTTATGTGACCTGAAGGGCGACATAGGCGCTTTTTGAAAAAAAAAATTGAATAATGCCTCACGTTCAATAGTTGTGTGTATGCATATTAAGTTTTGGGGAAGGTCTGGCAGTTATACCTGGCGCCACCAGCGTTCGTTTGGTCAAATAATCAGAATGTGGATAGATTATCATCCAAGGGTGGAAATGGAGTTTGGGAGGGGGGAGTCCCGGTACCCGACAGGAGGCCCGTCGCGCGGCAAGAAGGCAGAGTCAGCGGACGAGTCGCAGCGCGTACTGTAGTGATTTCGCGTCAAGTTAAATAGAATGTACCATTGCACGTCCTACATCGCACAGCACACGCTGCGACTCGTCCGCTTACTCTGCCATTTTGCGCGACGAGCTTCCTGTCGGGTACCCGGTGGGTACTCCTTGTTATCTTATCCTTAGTACGAGAGAGGATAAGATGCGAAGTAAACGACTTACTTGAAACATATTTTTGATGAGCACTGGTGAACGCCCCACATCTTCCCCATACATATAGGGCTCAGTTGTAGCACCTGATCATGCACCGAGGGGCTCATCAAATCAAATGTATACATTTTATAATTTCAATGTCATGAGCGTTCTTATTTTTATCTATAGTTGTAAGTGCATAACGGAGCGGCCCCTCCAAACTCCATTTCCACCATCCGTGGTCAGTAGACTGGCGCCAGGCTCGTCTATGAGGAGGGAATAGCCGTAGTGTCTGTCTGATTTCCTATCTATGCCCGGACCCATCACACCTTCCCGACTTCGGGGTTGTTTGGATAGCGTCTCTTAGTCTGACACTACCCGACACA